CTTTGATGAAAAAAGCTGGGGAAAAATCCAGGTTTTATTGTATTAAAATCACAGTGACAGAGAAGAACTTTAACAAAAAAGTGATAATAATTTGTCTTATTATTTGGGATATCTAAAAGTGCTTGCATGTAATAGTTTTCCTCCGCTATTGTGAAAATTTAGAAATATTTGGTTTCTAATGATAAAGAGGTGATGAAATATAAAATAATCCATAATATACAAAGGCATGCAAGGCAGTGATTGAAGTGATTTTACCAGGCCATTTCCTTTAAAACACCTGACACAGTGTCTGCACTTTCAAAGCAGCACAAGGAGGACATAAGATTTAACTTGAAGGAAAGAACGAAAGAAATGGACATTTAAACATGATCACTCTTGGAGCTATTATATGTGTCATAGATTGAACAAACTAAGTGTAGCTGAGTATAAATATTAAGCTTGTTAGAGAGAATCAACAGAACAGTTCATCACTGAGGCAGATTTATAATTCTTCAATTAAATAAAACAAAAACATTTTACTATGCACTCACTAGAATCAGGACCAAACTCAGAGTTCCACTTGCCAGATGGACATGGAATATTTGAGGAGAGAGGAGACTGATCACTGATAATCAGCCTGTTACAAGCCAAATCAGGCTATTGGATTTCTGCAGGAACATGAGCTCATGCCAGTAAGGTTCTTAACCCAAAGCTAAGCCCTGGCCATAAACCAGGCAACCCCAGGACTGCTCTGCTACATAAGCCCTACAAGAATTATGGAATATCCCATTTATCCAGGAAAGATTTCTCCTGTCAGAAGAATTAGTGCATCCAAAGGCACTGTGGAATGTCCAATTTGCGGTTTATTCCATTAGGAAACAGATTCTGGCATCATAAAAATGGAATAGCAATGGCAACTTCTCATGGGAAAAACTTTAGGTCTCTTTATGGCAAAGACGTGTTCGGTAGCTTTTGACAGTAAAAATTGCACTGGCAGCATATCAAAATGCTTGCATGTGTGAAAATGCTCCTATCACAGAGTTCTGTTCTCACTTGAACAATCTAAGGGAACCTGAAGGATTCAATGCTGAAAACAGGTACTGCTGCGAGAGGGTTTTTGGGATGCAGCAGAAGATTTTAGGTAATGCTCTGTGAAGACCATTCACCTGAAAAAAAAGCTGTCAACAAATTCTAATTCCATTTCCAGAGGTCTCATTTCTGTTTTCTGATGCCATGACAGTACAAAATCCTCATCAGTTGTCTAGATTCCTGTCAGTTTTTTGTCATTTATTGTGAGCCTACCGTTTTTTTGGAAGGGTTAATTCTAGTCAGTCTACAACACATTGCTAGAGTGTATCAACACTTGTCTAAACACGAGATATTTTCATCTGAAATTTGAGGTTTTTCTGGTTTGAGGTTTCTCAGACACACCACACAAAACACGGATTTTCATTTTTTTCCTGCTTCTGTTCCTATGCAGAAAACCCAGCAGAAAAGCACGTGAAAAGTGCCCAGAGATTCAGTCAGGAGTTTGTGCAGTCAGGGACTTGTTATGTCACAGAGTCACAGGTTTAGTCACAGGTCTAACACAGAAAACATGACATGATTTTCATCCAGCATTAACCTCTTATGTATATTTTTTTTTATATAACTCTATTATTTCTCCTGAGAGGGGATAAAGGTTTTTGCACCTGGCAATCCAAGAGCTCAGCATGCCTTGATTACAGTTTGAGAGGGCATGATTGCCTGGATTTGGATTATCACTCACTGCCCAGGAACCCAAGGCACTAACCCTACAAATCCCACCAGTAATGGACATCTGAGCTCAGTAAAGGACAGAAGAAAAGCATCAGTAGATATGGAAAATAAAGATGGCTCAGAGATGATCTACAGATATTGAGTGAGATGCATGATGGCATTTAAATTTGCATTTTTTACATTATTTGCATAAAGTCACCACAGCCTCTACAGTTTTGGGTATCTTGTCTACAGAAGGAGTAGGGAAATTTATAATAGGGAAATTAATATCAAAAAATAATATGGAAAAATTAATATGGGGGAAATAATATGGAAATTAATATGGAAATTCAACAAACCAAGAAAATTAAGAACACCAGTGCACCATTTTGAGGCACAGATCCTGCTGGGAGCACAGCATAACTTCTATATAAGTAATAAAATATTCTGAGAAGTGTTTTGGGTTGGTTTGTTGGGGTTTTTTTATGTGGTTGCTGATGAAGATACCTGTTGTGTCACTTAGTTAAACACATTTCTCAACAACATGGCCAATCATAATATTTGTAGAGCATGTCAGCAGCACAGTTAATTACTGACTATCAGGGGAAGTTGCCTTAGGGTGATCTGGAAGGTTTGAACAACAGAATCAGCCTGTGTGCAACAAGCTAAATTGATGAATGGTTATGCTTATGTTCTACACAGGAAGGCAACATTCCAAATCACAGACATCTTACGAATTCTTTGGCAGGAGGGACAGAAAGAGGGCACTGCAGATTTTCCTCCTGGCAGAGAGAAACACACCAATGTCACCACATTCAATGTCACTGTTACATGGTGGCCAAATGCCACCAGTTACCTAAAGCGCAAGAGAACACAAAAGGGCAATATAATTTCTTGAGGAGAAGTATTTCTGTTTATCTCAACCCTCAAGAGAATTTTGAATTTTGAAGAAAGGCAAAGTACTAAAAATTATTTAAATTAAGAGATGTGCTAATTCTAGCAAGTAAAAATTGGGTTTCTACAGGAGGCTTCCTGAGAAAATGCAGTCCCTATGTGGTATTCACCAGTAGACAGCATTTCTTCAGTAGCCATAAAGTTTCTGTTGCCTTGAAGAATTAATTTGGTAGGAATTAATTAATCTGAGAGAAAATTGAGGCTGAGGACTCAGGAAGATGTCAAGGATTTTGGCCACCAATGTGAGGGAATGTTTTTCTATTCCAAGCTTTATTGTGTTGAGCATTGATCTGATCTCTAGAAAGGAAAGGAGAGTTTGTTACAGACATTTCCTTACAGTTCCACATCACACCAGCTTGGTTATGGACAGCCCAGACACTCAGTAATACAAAAAAAAGGAGAAATTTGACTTGTGAATTCAGGGTTTTTGAGGGATATTGCTGGCTTTCAATATGAATAATCACTCATGCTTATCTGGCAGATACATTCAAGACAAAGTCATGGTCAAGTTCATTGTTTAAGTGGCATAACTAAAGACTTACTGAAGATCTATGATGTTTAAAGGACATAAAACTCACCTCAGCCAAATAATACCCTGATTTTGGCTCTGACAGGAGTATTTGCTTCCTGTGGGAGATCATGTTCTAACATCAACTGTGCACAGAACCCCTGACTGAGCAACCTTGATAGACAAGGATGGCATGCATAGTTGGAATTTTATTACTGGATACTGGAGGATTGAATCAGAAAAGTCTCTTCAAGCAGATTTTTAATGTCAAGATATTTCAGGTGGTTTTTCTAAGAGGATTTTCACACTTAACTGATTCAAACACATTAAAAACTTCATAAACTGAGTGACAATGATGTAACAAAATTTGACTTATTTTTCTAAACCTTGTTACATAGAAAGTTTCCTCACTCCCACTCAGCTCAGGACTCATTTTGCCATTGTCTGTGAGCAGGAGCAGGAGTGGGTCTTAAATAGGTAACAGATTGGAAGGACAAGGGTAATTAGCAATGTGAGCTCAGTATTTAAACATGAAGAGAAATGCTAAGATCTTTTTTACTTTGTCATGCTGTGCCAAGCAAACCACCTCACATTTAGGATGCTTAATTCAATTTGTGTTACACTGCTGATGATTATGAAATGCATTTTGAAGAGATTTGTTTTATCTTCTCCAGAAAACACACAGAGACTCATTTACTACAAGAAAATAGAGATATAAGTAGAGACACACTTTGTGAATGCTAGAAGAGAAAAACACATCTAAAGAAAAGGAAAATATAGGATATATTTAAGCAGATTTAAGAATTTAGGTGCAGTGTCATTTAGCAAAACAGTGTCATCATGATTCTAGGTTGGAACAGATAGAATAAAAAATGCAAACAGCATTTTCTCTTTAATTGACATTTCATGTGTTGCTTTTACACCCCTGCACATACAGCACACACATTCATCTTCCTATTAGTAATGGACTAAACAGGGCTTTACTTTCTTACAATTTCAGATAAGAAACTGAATTTGACCAGAATTCCTGGCAGGGTGTGCATTATTAAAAAGAGCCAAGATAAAACAACTTTGCTGAATATTCAACTACAAACACATGGAGCACTCTTTACAGCATTCTTGGGATCAGTCCTAGCTCCTCTCACCTGACCTTCAAACTGATCTGTGTGCCAAAGAATAGGATCAGTATAAATTTATTGCCCAACAATATTAAATGGGTCTTTTTTTTCCCATCACATGTAAATGGCCCCTTGTACAGCCCTGCAAAATGACATTTTGCCCTTCCAGAAGTGCTCCAAAGCACAGGGACTCAAAGTGCCCTTCTGGGCTTTGCTGACCTAAGGGATTTCTCTTTCTAGCAAAAGCTCCTCACCAAAATACTTTGGAACCTCTATACACACAACAAACAGGCTGAAAAGGTGCTTTCTTTGGGAGATTTAGTAGATACTTAATTTTATGTTCCCATCCATAAACACTCAATGTAGGAATCAACATTTATTTATCAGCATATGCTCAGATTTTCATCTTAGACCATATCTCTGGAATTTCAAATTAATGGGAATAATACAGACAGTAAATCCATCCTTTCATTTTATTTAAGCCAGTGAGCTGTTTTCTGGATCTAAATTCCACATTCATTTTACTTGCTTCTTACCTACTTTAAACTTATTGGAAATAGCTTAAGTGATATAATGAAGGTACCATTCAGCAGATTATTTACATTTTAATTACACAAAGGACACACTGGTAAAGTAACTGGAAATCAACAAAAAAAATTGAAAGTAACTTGTTGAAATACACATTTTCTATTTGTTCTACTTACCTTCATTTTTCTTGATGGTGAAATTTGGGTTGTTGACCATTTCAGGAAGAAGGCTGTACAGGAAATAATGCCCATTTTTAGGATCATCCTTGTCAACAGCACTGACAATCTGAATTACCTGCAACATAAATGGGCTCATTAAGTTTTCACACCCCTGATAAACAGACAGTGCTGGAAAAAACTGTATTTATTGGACACATTTCATTTCTCTTCATGTCAGATTTAAAAAGATAATTTATAACTCTGCAAGGCTTTTATAGACCTTAGACTCAAAACCTTGGGAAGAGGAACTGTATCTGTCCCTTTTTAAATAGTTCCAGAACAAAGAGCCAGCAAATAAGGAGAGACAGGTAAAGAGAGGCCAGCAGAAACTGCTGGTGATTTAGACAAGTAATAAATTATTATTCAACAGAAAAAGCAAAACTGTGCTTCAGAAGGACTCATATTGCCTATGGCAAGCTTTCATTTACACGACCACGCTTCTCAATGGACTTGGACTTATAATATACCTTTAATCCTTTCTCCTTCCCCCACCCACATTTCATTTCATAGAATAATTATTATTTTAAAAATTAATTTGGATGTGAAATTTTTGATAACAAAAATCAAAACTGAAGAAAGAAAAAAAAAGAAAATATTGAGGGCTGTATTTTTTTCCTTTAATGAAAATAAAACCTCAGTTATTCCTGTACTGTACTAGGAAGACATGCTTGTTTGTTTTTTAATAACATCATTATTAATTAATGATTCCTAGAATAATGCAAGATAATTAGGTGAGAAGAGTGCTTTGGGTAGTTTGGATAACTTGAATAATCAAGTAACTTTGTATGAGGTACTTCATATGATTTACATGACCAACTGCAGTGTCTGAAGTGGATTTATCTCCATTTACAATTTTTACCTTTTACATTACTCAGCTGATCATCTTCAAATCATTCAAAGTTGCACAGGACTATGAAATGAATAAACACTATTTTAAAATAACCAGGAGTTTTGCGCTATTTTGCTTGATATTTTTGGGTTTCTTTGTGATTTTTTTTGTTTTGTTGGGAATTTTAAAATATTTGGTGCACTTGCTATTGATGCCAAAGGTTTTCCAGAGAAGCAGAAACAAAACCAGCCATGGATCCAGATCCCACCCTTAGATCTGGCTTTCAGGGCTAGTTAGCTCATGCTAGATGGTGTTCATAAGAAATTTAATTAGAATTATTGACCTTTTCCATGTCCATTGAATCCAATAACAATTGTCTTATGTATTTATTTGCAATGTCTAAAGCAACCGACCTATAATTTCTTGCACAATTAAATTCAAATTAGGAATCACTAAAAATTTTAAAGTATAGACTGAAAAATGGAAGCAGGGTTTGATGCTGTCCAAATTCATAGACTTTTATTTTAAAATTTCCGTGTTTCCCTAATAAAATGACAATAATTAACATTTTATTCTGGTTTAACCACAAGGACTATCAGTCTGTATGTGTTATATATATGACAATGGTAAAAATCATATTTATGTTCTTCAAGAGTCAAAGAAAGAACAAAAATCTTACTAGATAACCACAGGGATCAACACTAAAATATAAATATTTGAAATTATATATGTAAAAAAATGTTTGAGCAAGCTGTGAGATTTGTGGACAACCCAATTTAGGAAGGAATGTGAGAAATAATTCCTAGCCCAATCATATTCTGGATCAGAATTATCATTATTATTGGTCAGATTAATCGTTATTATTGTCAAAAACCTATTGAAAGAAAATTAGATTGATTAAATACCATATAAATAGGGTGGGTTTTTTTTTTATAACTGCATATAGCAAGGTGGAAATCTTGACAGGATTTCAAACAAATGTATTAGAAGAGATGGACAAACAAATAGGCCTAATTCAGCTTTTGCTTTTTTACTTTATGAGGTAGATCTTCAATTTAATAGCTGAATAATGGATCCTAAAGTAGGAAAAATATAAACAATGGGAAAATATCTAAGTAGCCTCTCTCTGTCCCAGTGCAGAGCTGGAGCCATTTGCAGATGGATGGGAAGGATTTTCAGCTTTCTCTTTGCAGAGGTGTCAGGCACTGGAGCACCCACTGTGATGTGCCCAGGGCTGGAGCAGGTACCAATAATTCATCACCACAGGGAAGTGCAGTTTGGGCTGGGATCCTGAACAAGGCAGAGATGTTTAGACAGATATATTTTATAGCTGTTCAATTTTTCAAACGCTGATAGAATAGGAAAGCAATAGGGGAAAAGGATTATGGCACAGTGAAATCTGGAAGGGCAAGTGGACGTAACAGGTGCAGTTTATCAGATTGCTATAATATTTTGTAGGTAGTGGTATTCCATCCATTCCCTACATAATTTATAAAATGCCTCTTTCTCTAAAATGCACCAAAAATTATATGCAAAAGATAGGCTTGGTGCAATACTACATTTGTTGTGTTACACACACATCACAGAATTAAGAGTTAGAGTTCCCATAGCAACCTTATTTCTTTGTGTGTTTGCATTAAGATAAGGTCTTAAAAAAAAAACCCACAACAGAAAACATAATATATATGCAGTGATATTAAACTCTGGTATCTCTTACTCGACAGGGGTCAGAAAAGTCCAGTAATTCTCATTTCCAAGTTTTTATTAGTGTGGTGATAGGCATATTTACTACTGCATGTTGTGTGCTCAGGCAATGGAATATTACTGAGGTAATTCTCCAGCTCTTAATTTGTGCTTCATAACATGGCTGAGAATCCCAAAATTACAGAGTCACAGAATCACTAAGGTTGGAAAATCCCTGCCAGCCCATGGAGTCCCAGCCCAATGCCCACCTTGTCCCCAGCCCAGAGCCCTGAGTGCCACCTCCAGCCCTTCCTGGGACACCTGCAGGGATGGGCACTGCAAAGCTCCCTGGGCAGCCCCTGCCAAGGCCTGAGCAGCCTTTCCATGGGCAAATTCCTGCTGTGCCCACCCTGAGCCCAGCCTGAGGCCGTTCCCTCTGCTCCTGTCCCTGTTCCTGGGAGCACAGCCCGGCCCCCCGGCTGTCCCCTCCTGGCAGGGAGTTGTGCAGAGCCACAAGGGCCCCCTGAGCCTCCTTTGCTCCAGGCTGAGCCCCTTCCCAGCTCCCTCAGCCCCTGCTGAGACTCCAGCCCCTTGCCCAGCTCCGTTCCCTGCCCTGGACACGCTGCAGCCCCTCCAGGGCTCCCAAAACTTCCTCCAGTGCTGGAGGTCCTTCAGCAGGGCCAGCACTGCCTTGGTCCTGTGGCCACCCCAGGGCTGGCACAGCCCAGGTGCCATTGGCCTCCTTCCCATTACAGATTTCTTTTCTTTCCTGTAAAAACATCCATCCCAAAGTTCTTCCACTACAGAGAAATTGGTCAATAAAGAAAATAAGAACTGATTTTTTTTTTTTCACGACATATCCAGTGAAAGTTAATAACCCTTTGGCTATTCAGTCTTGAAATTTCTGAAATTCTTACATGTAAAATTCCAACTTTGATGTTGTATTAATACTTCATGTGTGCATTTGATTCTGTACATACATTTAGAAGAAACTTAGCAAATCAGCATATTTTGTTTAGCAGACAGCACTGGATTGTAATGAATAGTTAAATGGTCCCCTAGGACAGCTTGACTTTCTAATTTGTAGGATTGCATTGCAGTTCTACAAAGCTACATGTGCCTGAAATAATATATACAAGGATAAATAGTAAAACAAAGTTATTTTCAATACATGATAACTATCTATGTGCAATTTTAGTTCATGGTACTGTTTAAAAGACACTTCCTGTGATGCAGCCCATTAACTTCACTAAGAATGGTTCCTTATCACTAATAAACACTTTTCTGGTTTTAATCAGACTGATGTTCCAACTTTGGAAAAGCTTTTGCAGTCCCATTGCTGTTCATGGTTATTCCTGCATTGTTTTGCAGGCTCAAAGCACCATAAGAGTAGAGTCACCACAGAGCAATTTTAACTTTGTCTGAAGAGTCAAATGCAGGTTCTAGCAGTAAAGGGATGGCTCTAGCTGAAAAGACAAAGATCTACCTGAAGATTTCACCCATTAGAAAGAAAAGAAATCTAGTAGGAGAAGTGAATAAAATAGAGACAAACTGTGGGAGGCTGGAGGAGCAGTGTGCTCAGTTTTATATTGCTCCAGTTTAAAGCTGCCTTCAGCTCTCATATATCGCTGTCTGCACTATCAAGTGAAGATTTTGTAGCTTTGTTTCCAGCAAACAGCACTTCCCTGGAAAAGTCTGAGTATGGACTGGGGAAATGCCAGTGAAGCACTTTTCTTACTCAGCATTACAGAAGTTTTGTTCTAGGTCTACAGGAAAATAATTTTATTGTGCTGGAGAACAATCAACAGCACAGCTATAGTCAGCAGACCATGAATGTTCTGGTTTTAGAAATTGGAATTATGCAGAAAAAAAGGGACAATAGAAAAAGGCAAGAGGTGATTTGTGGGTAGCTTAGAGGTACTGTAACAATACATCCAAATTTTTGGAGTTTGTTGTTTTTTCCCCCCTATAACTGACAAAAAACACTTCTGGCAGCTCTTTGTTGTGTGTAAAAATGTGAGAGGAGCACAGAAATACATGCATAAAAACAGATTTCCTTCTCCCTCCCTTTCCTCTCCTATCAGCCTGTGGTACCTTTACTCAGAGGTAGGTCAAGGCAAGGAAAATGCATCTGGCAGCTTTACACATCAAGAGTTTTTAACCCACTGTGTCACCTCACTAGCAGCTGTACTTGCTACTGCAATTACATCAGAACCCAAAACAGAACACTTAGAAAGTGAGCTGGAATAGATTGTGCAATGCATTTAGTGGCTGCACATAAGGTTTTACCAATAGATCAAATAAAATCTCCTTTATGGTAAATCAAATTTGATTTACACTTAGATTTAAATGGAACTGCAAATGTCAACAGACAGGAATACCTTAAGACAATTGCACCTTTCCTGCACATGTAACATTTGAGTTTAAACTTTGGACAACCATCCAAATTAGGCTTTTGCTACTAGTAGTATTTTTCTCATATCACCTATTTCATAACTGAGATATATGTAGTTTCTTGAATTCTATATCCTGACTTATTAATAGAATTTCTTTCAAAACTTGAATATAGAAATAAGCATAAGAAAATACAATAAGGCAGTGGAGTTACTAAAATCTTTACAGGAGCTGATGATTTTTGAATGACACCTTCAATTCAGAACCTAACCTTGGAGATTATTCTGGACTGGTTACTGTTCCAGTAGTGCTATTTGTTTAAACACAGAATAAATTACAGGATCAGTGCCACCTCATCCATGCTGGCAGCCAAATATTTAATAACCATCTGTAAAGTTCACACAAGGATTCATGCTCAAGAGTGACATCTGCCATCAGATCAAGAGTGTAAGAGGCAATGGTAGATAAAGAATATCAAGCTTCAATGAAAGTTTTCTCTAAGTGCTTAAGTAAAAGCCTCTTTTACCTGCTGACTCTTAATCATCTCATTTATTGTTTTATTCCAAAATGAAATGTGAACATTTTTCACCATCTCTTAAGCCATCTGAAATTCAATGGGAATACCTAGATAAATGCAGTCAGAAAACACTGTACAACAGAACTTTCTGATTTTAGGGAAGCTCACTGAATCCTGGATAAAGGTGTAGTCATTAGGGTTTGATCTATCCTGGAAAATGCAACTACTCAGCATCAGAAATCCACCCTGAGCTAAACAGAAATCCAGTCTGAGCTAGAAGATCTGGATTGCCAACTGTAACATGACTGTTTTGCCCATGAGGGCACATCTCCTCTTCAGTGGATAGAGAGAATTCTTATTCCTTAAGTAGCACATTTATGACACCATTTTACTAAACAAAAAGGGGTTCTAGAAGTCAAATCATCCTCTGTAACAATATAATCTGTATGCAGAGCTGGGTTGTCAGACACTGCTATATAGGTTGTCATTTGATACTGCTAAAAAGAAAATAACTTCTAACTCTATTGTCAGGTAACTTTCTTTAGAGAACAGTGAATTTAATGTCTAACACCCACATGAGACACAGGAATAGTTGGATTAACAAGCCATGTCATGCTGTCAGCTGCTGTTTATTTACATAAAATGTCACAATCTAGAAATAAATTGCAAGGTTTAAAAACATTGAATTGTGTTAACACCCAGTGTTTCTCTTGCTGGACAAAAGTTACATCTCATTTACACTGCATTACTTTCTAAATGTCTGTGCATATTCTTGAATCTTCACCTTGTTATTTAGGTGGCATATGAGATATTCTTCTCTATTTCTGTACATTTGTCCTTCAAAGTGAATACCTTCGAACAAATCTGCTTCATTTCTTTGAAAAAGCCGAAACAGCTTAAATCTTGCATCTGACATGTTGCTGTTGACCTCACCTTGTAGACTGTTGTGTGAGTTTCTTCACCAAGCTTTTTTTCATTAAATGAAGAAAGCAATAACATTTTTTATATTTTTTAATATAATGAAAATTTGAACTTCCCTTCTACAACACCATCTTCAAACACAATTACAATTTACTTCACTTTCCATCAAATTCTGGTTTGCTGTTTAATTTTTTTTCCCAATTGTCATAGAAAAGCAAGAACTGACTAGAGATTATAATGAGATAAGGTCAAGGAGAAATGGGTTTATTGTTTTAACTGTTTATTCTAAATTATACCTGGGAGCAGATGCAACTGAACTGAAATTCAGGTGGGATTATACTTTCACCTACTAACACACATGAACTTACAAAGTGCTGCGCTCCATTACACAGAGTGTGATGCTGGGAGCTTGGAGACACTCAGGATTTTTTCAGGATATTGTCCCAAAGTAATTAATTAAACTTACCTTTAATTTAAACCTTAAGGGAAAAAAAGTTTATTTAATTATAGAAGACATCCCATGAAAGTGAAATTACAGAAGACATCCCATGAAAGCGATCATGGGTTTATCTTGAGTTAATGCTAAGAGCTGTTAGCATGAACACATAGGCACCCATTTTGGGAATAAAGATGACATAAGGTGAAAGGGAGAAACTCCAGCCCAGTCTCACACCACATAAAATCTGGGATACTCACCTGTCCAGGCTTGCCATTCTCACACAGGAAGGCCTCGTGCTCTGATGCAAACTCAGGGGCATTGTCATTCACATCCAGAACTTTGATAGCAACAGGCACCCGGGACACCTGGCTGTGGTTCCCTGAGGAGAGAAACCAAAGTACCCAAGGTAAGCATATTTAATTTAATTGGGAATTAAATACAGCACTGCTGGCACTGTCACCATGCTCTTCCTGTCTCCTGCCCTTGCTTAATTGGGCTGCCTCATCTGCAATGGATCGTGGAGCTGGAGAGCAGCTGAAGAAGGATGGCCAGGCCTTGGTGGCTGAAAAGAATAAATAGATCCCTGCTGCAAACTGCATTTGTTGGAGATTAGCTCAATGAAGACCTTTCTAGGTCTAAATTGGTAAGATTTTTCTTTGATGAAGTTTGTATTGTTTTATTGATAAAGTCCATTATATATGGAAAAGAGAAGGCTGCAAACAGCAGAGATTTATTTCTTTGTTTATCTTTGGCAGAGCACAGCACATTTTACTCCATTAATTGTTCTGACTGCACATCTATTATCTCTTCATTGCAAACACAGTTAAAGTACTGACCCACATTGGGAAAAAGATGGATGGGAGACTGACAGGCAGGAAACTAGACAGTAATTTGGACAATTAAAGCACTTTGATCATCTACCATTGACCAAAACCGTGACCTGTGAACTTTTTTCACTGAAGTAACAACTCATTATTTATAATATAGAGCTATTTTGCATAAAATTGCTTATCACTGTGAAGAGTAGAATGAGCTGTAAGGCAAGAAAAGCTAAACCAACAGTTTTCATCTACTTTGAACAGCTTTCAGAGGCAGCTGCCTGTGTCTTTCCCTCAATTCAGCATCGTTAATTTGCTCAGAGACTACTTATAAATATTTTAAATTATTTTTCCCCAAGGAGCAAGCCCATGAATTTAAGTTGAAACTGAGGTCACCAGCTGATTTGGAGAGTTTGATAAACTGTTCCACAGCACATGCACACCTCCACAGGTACCTCAACCCCAGTGTCAAAGTCCATCTCCTGGTGAATATCATTTTCCAGTGATGGTATTATACCTCATTTGTATCATCAGCAATGACAAATCTCAATATTCCGTGCACTTCTCAGTACAAATGACTACAAAGTACAAGAAGATCAGGCCCCACCAGTGCTCAGGGACCAACTGGTGGCAGCCCTACAAATAGGAGAGATTAATAAAGGCAGAATCACCATATACACTGTGGGTTTTGTGGTTTCCATCAGGATTAATTCTGTTAATTCTAATCAAACCTGATATTTTACAGCCCTGTTTCCTCCTTGTGTGCTAAAGACATCCACAAGATGGGAGGCTCCACCCATACATCTAAATGTGCAAATTTCAATTGCTCTACTGACATTGAAATGGAATAAAAATAACAATTTAAAAAATGCAAACTCAAATATACCAGTGCTATAAGATACTTTCTATCTCTGGGATTGTCTGAAATATCAAAATTCCTCCTGGACAGGACATGGAAGATCACCACACATTAGGATTTCAATGTTTTCCATCTTAAGGAGCCAAAAGTTTTAATATGGAAAGAATATTAAAGAAGAAAAGGAAACACCCACCAAAATATTACATGAGCAATATTTATATTACTTTGCATCTTATGATCTTTCTTACTAACAGGTGAGGAGAGCACTTATGGCATGAAATAATGATGTATTTGAAACCAAATAAAACCTAATATGCAAATCATATTCCAAACATTTTAAACACTTTTTTTATCTTCACTTAATAAAAATACAGACAATAAATCTGAAGCTTATCAGAATTCTCAGCACTAGTGTCATATTTAAACACTAAAGATTTACTTTTATCTAAATTAATGAAATGATGGCAGTTCAAATTTTAAAGACATTACAGAGAAATGTAATTAATTAGATAAGCTTCTAAAGAAATTATTCATGTCCCTTGTGACTGCCCCCAAAATGTTTGTCTTTCATCAGAAATACAAACATTAAATTTAAAGATATTATAATTAGAAATTTGATGAGAATTCATTTAAAAAATTAATTTACTAAACACAAGAGAGACTCAGCTGGTTTGGAAATCTCCAAACAAGGGGATATCCACTGCCTTTTAGGGTTCCTGTGACTGTGGTGAAATTTGTTGTTGAGAAAGAGAGAGAGATGGAAATGTGTCTACAGCTTGTATTGCCCACCACCCTGAATACACTGCATTATTTTGCCATCCCAAATTTCCCAGGGTGTAGGAGTGATGGGGGAAGGATGGTCAGGATGGATGGAGATGAGAGATCTGTGAAGCCAGGTCATGGAACTTGTGGTTTATTGCAAAGGGCCTGAGTGCAGGGCCCAGCTGGGAGCTGCCAGGCACAGCTCAGAGCAGGCCCCAGAGAAGTAAAGAGAGTGGGAAAGAGGATGAGAGAGAGAGGATGAGAGGGTAAGAGCGTAAAAGAAAAGAGAGTAAGAGAGCAAAGTTCCCGTTACAATACAATAAATCTTCTTCTGTGTTGAATACTCTAATTCTCACTAACCAATCTAGTACAAGACACAAATCCTATAGCATTTACATACAGCCTATAAGAATCATTACATCACCATACTGTGTTACATTTTAAACCCTAAAAACTCCTCTTGGGCCCCTTCTGCCAAGCTGTAGGGTCTGCTCTGACCCTTGGGCCTGTCTGCAAGCAGAGGGAATTGTTTCATCAAAAGGGGACTACCTTCATCCACCCACACCATTGTTTTCCAGTTGTTCAGTAAGTGAGGTATCTCAAAGCTTGCTTTCATTTCAATCTCACTTATAGTTTCCATACTCTCAAAATCTTTCGCCAGTTAATCATATTTATAAGGCTTTCTTGTTTCATCTTCCCCAACACCAGGGAAATTCCACTTTGTGCTAAGTATTTTCCCCCACCCTGAGCACACCTATTCAGACACATTAGTGAGTCCTCTCTAAGCAAACCCAGGTTGAAAACACCATCAGGATGGAACAGTTCCATCTGTTCCTCTCCATACGTTTCATGTCTGCAGACTCTTGTTGCTGGAACACGAACAGAGGATGTCCAAGCTTAAACCCAGACCTGCTGGCAATGCCCCAAATGCTTGAACTAGGAGAAGGAAGGGATTGGAGTGGATCCAGGCTGGTCACAACCTGCCCCATCTGCATGGTCACTGCCCTTCAGGCCCTTGGGTGTCTCCCTTGTTAGTATTCAACGTTCAGAACTTTTCCTCATTTGTATGAATGGACAGTCAGTTCTTTCTGAGCTAGGAACAAAACTGAGCTTAATTGCTGCGTGGGTTTTTGTTTAGTTTGGGTTTCTGCCCAATAAACCCCTCAGTCAGTAGATTTAAGGGAGACTGGATCTTCTTGCGTGCACCAGGTGGACAGCTAGACTGACTGCTTAACTTCCAATCTGTTATTTTATGCAAAAACATAAAAAAGGGTAAAGTTAGAGACTCTCTAACAAACTAACCAGATTTTTAAATCTTTATCACCTGTATTTATTGTGATGCACAGTTTGAAAAGACCTACCTTGAATTTTGCAATATAAAAGTATCATTAGGGCTGTCTCTTAAGAAACAGCAGCTTTGTTTGAAAATTTAATGCTCTGAGGTGCAAGATTGAAAAATATTGACAAAATTTCCACTAACTAATTAAATAAAAATCTTTTCAAGCTAGGGCTGCCCAGAAAGACTTAGTAATCTGAGGACATCACTCTGTTCCTAGATGAGCACAGAACACACTAGACAGATCCAAGGAAAGGAAGACTCAATGCAAAAATAACTACTGGAACTTAGTTTGGGTTGATAAATAAACTTCCAAAAATTATGGAAAATCCACCTGGGTTTAGAAATGCATATTGAAATGTTCCCAAGGATTATAAGGACCTAAAAAGGTCTTCTGCTTTCTCCCCAGTTCACAAGACTCTACTGGAACATTCAATGTTCAACATTCAAGTTGAAATACCCAACTTGCTGGTACTCCTCTGAGTAATCCACTGAAACCAGCTCAGGGTTTAAAAGTGCTGTAGAGTTTGATACCAAAATGATGAGGCAGGTCAAATAACCAAAGTCAAATTAAAGCAAACAAACAAAAACCAAAGAAACATTATCAAGTAACTTAGTGTCTTCAAACCCGAACTTTTGGAGGCTAAAGACTCATTTTTTACTGCTTGTTATTGGGATCAACACTTTTTGTCCTTCCTGGAAAAAATCCTACAGAGCTGAGATGTGCCTGTATTGTAGGAAATTTGTATTACAAAGCACTGAGTTTTGTCAACATTGTTACTGCACACAGCAAGAATTTCAAGGAGTAACTAGAGCTTATAAATATTATTTTTGGTCTTGTACCACAACTAACAAAATAAAATACAGCTTTTCAACTCCCATAAACAAAGACTTCAGAAACTTGCTTAAAACACTTTCCCCTGTCTTCCTTTGACTGATAAAATGCTTTTAGAGATAAAGAGAATTATTGTGGCCCAAAATTAAGTTTATAATTTTTTTAACCCAAAGGAATCCAGTTTAGTTCAGTTTTCCTTTAGGTAATTAAAAAATCCAAAATCACTTCAACATTTTCTATAAAAAAATCATTAGCTGTCTTGCATTTTACCTAAAATTTACCTGAACAGAAATGAGATTCCTAGAAAATGGCATAATTATTATTATTATTACTACTACAACTACTACGATTATTATTATCATCATCATCACCACCACATGGTTTGGAAATGGTTATTTCATGCTTCTCTGATTCAATGAAATTTCTACAATAATAATATTTTAAATTAGAAGTAGTGGAAGACCTAGTTCTAACAAAGAAATCAAAACAAAATCTGAAACACTGAATTAATAAAAACAACAGTGCTTGGTTTACATCCCTTATGTTTCAAAGTTATTAAGTTGTATTTTAACAGATCCAATTCCCATGACTTCATCAAAGTTTTATCTGATGACTTTATTAAGATAATCCACAGGACAAGTTTATTTCTCCTGTTAGAGTTTATGTTGTTGTTTTCTTTAGGCAATCCTTTGCTTCTAGAATGCCACAGCTTACAACAATCTTTCTGTCATATAAAACTGACAAATCTGACTTACAGAATCCTTAGATA